CTAGATTTTTATTTTTCCAGAACTGTTGTCTTCTGGGCAATCAACATACAGGTTACATCAAACAAGATTATGTATTTTAGGAAGCTAATTGCAAAGGTAATGTGAAATATTAATCCAGAGTTTTTCTTACACCAATTTAGTATTTTGCTTTACATTCACCTCTCTGATACACCAGTCGTAAACTGTATTAAAGCTAAGGAAAAGCTCCTGAAGCATTTGCAGCACATGTGGGTTGTGCTACCTAAGCACTGATTATAGTGTGCAGAAAGGCAACTGCATTCTTTATCATTTGAAATTTGGTTTGTATTTCAGTGAGGAAATTATAGAGAAGAGGAAGAAACAAACACAGGGGCATGAATGGAAGAGGAGGAGTTGTGTGAGATAGGAGAATGTATAAAATATGGGAAAAGATAAAGTAAGGTAGAAGGGCAGATTAGTGGGAGAGCTGATAGGTTTTGGATACTGATATGTAAAACCATGTTAGGAACAATCCTAGAAATAGCTGTTAGTTTTCATTGATATCAAGAAGCTGAGATCACCTAACCTTTACTAATTATATTAAGGTTTGTGTTACCTCTTCTTTTCAAAAGATGCCTGTTACAAATAGGGGTGAAGTCATGAGATCCAAAGAACAATTTTTGTGTGTTCAAAGGTGGGAATAATGTTCTTAATGCAATTCTCATACTTATTGCATACTTCTGACTTCTGTCTGTGTTGATTTAGTTCATATTCTATTGATACAAACCCGATTGTTACCAACCCAGATATTGAAACTATTCTAAAATAGGACTTTTGCAACAAATCAAATGTCTTTTGAATTGGCTCTATTATCTCACATCTTGGGGGAATTGACCCCTCCCAACTTGTTTGCTGATGATACCAAACTGAGTGGGGAAGTGGACACTTGGGAAAGGAGAGACACCCTGCAGGAAGACCTGGATAGGCTGGAAGCGGGAGCTAACAAAAACCGTATGAAGTTCAACAAGGAGAAGTGTAAGGTCTTACACCTGGGAAAACATAATCCAGGAGTGCAGCACAGGCTGGGATCTGCCTGGCTGGGGAGCAGCTCTGTGGAAAGGGACCTGGGGGTCCTGGTGGACAACAAGCTCGGTATGGGTGAACAGTGAGCTGCAGCGGCAAAGAAAGCCAAGTGCACGCTGGGCTGCATCAAGAAGGGCATCACCAGCAGAGAGAAAGAAGTCATTATTCCATCCTACTCTGTGCTTGTCAGGCCACACCTGGAATACTGTGTGCCGTTTTGGTTCCTGCTATGCATAAAAGCTGTGGACAGGCTGGAGAGGGTCCAGAGAAGGGCCACAGAGATCATGAAAGGACTGGAAAGCCTGTTGTGTGAGGAGAGGCTGAGAGAATTGGGCCAGTTCAGCCTTTAGAAGAGATGGTTTAGGGGAGACCTTATCACCATGTGCCAGTATTTAAAGGGTGGCTACAAAGAAGATGGAGATGCCGTTTTTACAAGGAGTCACATGGAAAAGTCAAGAGATGATGGGTGCAAGTTACTCCTGGGGAGATTCCGATTGAATACAAGAGGACAATTTTTCACAATGAGGGCAACGGGCCGTTGGAATAATCTCCCCAGGGAAGTGGTAGATTCCCCAACATTGGACACTTTTAAGGTGCTAGGCCATTCTGCTTAGACTGCTTTTGCCAAGAAAGGTTGGAACAGATGGTCCTTGAGGTCCCTTCCAACCTGGTATGCTATGATGGAGTAAAATCATCTTAAATTCAGCCTTAATCCCTTAAGCCCCTCCCCACAAAATGGAGGGATGTCAGAGACAAGACAGGAAGGTGCCTTTGGTTGGTCTTTATTTTCTGAAAAAAATAGGTGAAGGTATGCCATCATCTACTTTCTTCAGAGGAATAAACACACTTATCCCTGGTAAACAGTGCCAAGAAAATCCTGTTCTTAATTAAAAACCATTCCTCCCTCCTGCCCCCCAATACTTAATATGTTTGACTGAATCAAGGGCTGTTTTGTATTCAGAAAGAATGGCTTAAGTACTAGTAACTCTGTGTTAACTGCAATATAGAATGAGTTTAGACTGAGATTTAGACTTTTAACTTTTTGTTCTCAGTAGAATGATTTAAAAAAAAAAAAAATGAAGTGTAGATGGTGTTAATCTAACATTACCTACAGTCCACAAAGCCTTCCTACAGCTGCCTTGACATCTAAATATATAGATAGGTGTCTGTGTTTTTCAGTAGTGAGGAATTTAGGTGCCTGAAATTCTACTTCCGCACAGACAGCGCTGCTGATTTGGCTTGTCTTCTGCCCACGTCCTTCCAGGATCCTGAAATTAAGTGTTCCTGCTCGTTAGTCCTTGTACAGATCTCTGTAATGCCCATCACTGGAAATGCGTTCAGCACGAAGCGCAGCAGCCATGCCTATGGCACCCTAATCACAAAAACTGCGTAGGATCCAGGAGAGGAAATACAGAAAAGAGAGGGAGTTGGTTGTTGAGAATAAGTCTGAAAATTTGCCAGGGCAAGAGGCAAGCGCAAGAGCCTGAGTGGGAGGGTAAAGCAGTGGGAAGAACACTGGAAGGTAAAAAGCGGTATGGATGAGCTAACGGATGTGTGGAAGGGACAGAAAGCTGCGAGTCAATGCTGAGATCGAAAGGAAAGCTAGTATATGAGAACTGGAAGCTAATGGGAAATGGGATTCTGTTTGCAGGGAGAGAGCAATATATCATATAATGAAGTTGATGAGAGTGAAGCAGTTACTGTAAAGAGACGGGGGGGACTGAGATCAGAAATAGGAGACCAAGCCTGATGACAAAGTGTGTGATGGGGTTGGTGTCACACGTCCCCAGGGTTGTCAGTGGTACAACTTGGATGAGAAGGAGAGGTGGCCAACTTCTGAGGTAGACTCTGTGTGTCTGTGTTGAACAAGGTGGAGCTTCTCCTTTCAACAGACAATAGTCTTCAAAAGAGCTGGAAATTAAACCAAGTTCAGAAAGCTGCCTTGAATAATGTTAAGAGTTACAAAGAACAAGCGCAGCAAAGGGGAAGGTGAAGAATTAAGGTTGTCTGGAATATGTTAACTGAGCTGCCTTTGACATATGCATTATGATATAGTTTTAAATTATACGATCTTAGAATTCTGTGGCCTTTTCAACTGGACCAGAAGTGTATGAAGACTGCAGCAAAGGAGACAGGTCTTTGAAAACTTGCTTTCATTTGTTGTAGAAACTTTAAAGACAGGTAGATAATGGGGCAGTGTGCTACAAGAAAGGAAATGTGTTGCCTAGTTAAGGCAGATGAATACAGCTTTCCCAGAAAATGAGTTTAAAGTATTACATAAGGCTAGGTACTCTGGTAGGAGTTTTAGGAATCTCTGTTAGAACACTAAAATTTATAATGCCCCTAATTCAAAAGTTTCATTCTTTGAGTTCACAGACTATGGGGATCATATAACATACCTCTCAGGGGACTGTAATGCAATCTGTTGTAATCCTGAGAGCACCAAAGGGGAGCTCTGTGTGAGAACTAGCATTGCTGTCCTCAGAGTGCTGTTCTGAAACTGCACAGAATAACCTGGAGTAGATAGAGTGTAGGGCTGTGCTGTGACTGTATGCAATTCTGTTAACGCGTTGATTTTCAGTACCCTCTTCTAGCTACTGTATTCACTGAATGAGGTCGGGGTCCTGTGGAAAAACAACTTGCATGTCATCACCTAATAAAAAGCCAGTCAGACTTCATAGGAACAAGAGGGCCCAATTATCTCAAAATCCTTAAAAAATACAAATAGGGACTTCTGAAGAGCTTACCTTAAAAATTTGTTAGTTTCCACCTCATTGGACACCTTTCTTATTTAAAGACCTTAGGGGTTTTGAGGATGTTGGTACTTACAGCTTGTTGATTTTTTTGGTTTTGTTTTTTTTTTTTTTTTTTTTTAAATGGCGTGCTTCCCATATATTTATCCCAAGAAAATCTGGATGCACAATGTGCAAAGAAAACTTAAAAACTAGGAAGCATCGTTACAGTCAGTTTTTTAATTTCCACTGACTTCTGGTAAAATCTTACTTGAAAAACTGTACCTTGCTTACTTTTCCAATTATGTATTTATTTGCATGATGGAGAAGATGAAAAAGAATTTTGTTTTGGTCTGATGTAATTGTATTTTAGGGGAACTAATTCTATCTTATCTGGTTATATTTCAACCATGGTCAAAAGTAAGGCTGCAATTACTATTTAAAGAGACTAGTTTCAGTGGTTGTGTCATATCAAATGCATTGCTTTTCTACTCTGTTATTGTTCGATGGGCTGCTCTAAATTAGATGGTCTAATTCTGGAAAATTTGAATATGTGCAGGTGGACTTTTGTGTCAGCAAAGCCACACTTATTTAATTGGAGCTCCATATGTCTGCAAAAATTGATTCCATATGGTTGAATAGCACATTTTGAAAATGTCTCTTTAATTCATACTAGTGCCAGGAGAAAGTAGAATAACTTTATTTTTTGAGCTCCTCCTTAACTAAGTGACAGCGCACCTGTACACAAACCTTCTTTCAATTTTTAAAGTGGTAATTGAATATGTAGGATATTCTTGTCACATGTTAACAGTTTTAAGGTAGCTTAAATCTGTGGCTAACAAAGCCTTAACTGTGTTGCTGTCTGTTTGTACTCCTAAAAACAAGTGATGAAATATACCTAAAACATGCAATCCCACCTTCTACTAGGTTGAATTTACATGAGGTTTCTCACAGAAAACTCTTTCATTTAAGGTTGTGCTGAGTCTAAAAAAATATATATGTGTAGAACTGGTCAAATAACACCCAGCCTTTTTGCAGGGGGAAAGAAGCTTTGAGTTTGTTGATGGTTAAGCAAATTGAAGGGAAATAATCCGGTTAGAAAAGCTGGAGATACGAATTTTTAAATTGCTGACAATTTGGGGCCATAAGAATTGATATAATCAAGAGATGAATTTACGAGGAGTTATGTAAATTGATTTTTTTTTCTTTGTTTTTTATTGTACACAGGTACCTAAGGATAAAACTGGCCTGAAGGGAAAATCTGGGGGAAACTGGGGAGCTTGACTGTTCTTGCACCTGAGTAAGTGAATGCTTAGCTGATAATCAACTTTACAAACTGTTAAAACTGTTAAATATTTTTCAGCATCTCCATGTCTAATTGCAATCTGTAACCTGAGACAGTACTTTGGCTTTTGACTTGAAAAAGACTAAAAGTACTAGAGCTAGCTAAAGGGAGTGTTGTATAGAGCCTTCAGCACTTTGCAGTAGGTTTGATTTTTATTGCTACCCTTGAAGACTCCATAAAATTAAACTTAGATTATATGCAGGATTTCTTGGTATTCTGGTGTTTTGCCTTTTTGGTTATTTATCTTGAAACTAATTTCTGATTTTGAACAATCTCTGTGTTTCTTAAAGTTAAACTTGGTCTTGCTGGTTTGTGATCATAATAAGGCACTGAGATTCAGCAGGACTGAAGGCCTAAGAAGAGGCCAGGTTACATATGAGGTCATTAGAGGATGAAGGCTGAGAGGATGGCTTTGTGGTGGCTTAATGTGGTTGTCTTGGAAAGGGTGAATGCTCGTTTCACTTGTTTGAGACAAAAGCTATTGTCTCAGTTGGGTTTGCATCCATTAAAATAGGAAAGGGACAGCTTAGCTTCATCAGCTTTGATGGGGCATGTGGCAGACTTTCCTAGGTGTCCGAAGGTCCCCAGTCCCAAACTCAGCCTGCACTGGTTTCTGAAAAGGCAGGAAGGATGTTTTTCAGTTATCCACCTAGCTTCGTTTCCTGGCAATCCAAGTGTTATTCAGGTTACAATAAATTATTTTACATGTCAATGAGGTACTTTGTTGTATTATTTAATGTATTTATTTATTCATACATATTCATATAAGAAATGCATCTAATATTAATGAGCAGGTAAGTATAGTATAGCACGAAACTTCTTTCTACTGGTAACATATTTTTAATTATTGGCAAGTAAATTGAGTTTTCTGAAACAATTGCCAGAGCTGGAGCCTTTCTTCCTGCTGACATTTATCATGCTAAAATAATTATGTTTAGTTTTGGAAGGCTTCAGTAAGTTGAATATCCTTACTGTAATCTACATTAAATTTTACAAACTCTACTTATCGGCTGAATGTCTCTTGATTTAATCTGGTCTAAACTTGTTATCAGTGCATTTTATTCCAAATCTGTGCTGTGGTTTAATCATATTCTTGTACTGAATGCATGAACTTATAAATTGGTATCTATCACATCACTGTGTAAAAAAGTATATTTCATTTTGCTATAGTATTTACTGTGTTTATCTCTTTGTGATAAGGTAGTAGACAACAAAGTCTCTCATTGCTTTTGGTATTAAAGATAATTAAATATGTAACTTAAAAATATCCCAGGCTTTGTGAGCTATACACACATAAGACTTATAATTCATTCAGAAGTGCATCGTGGCAGCATTTAGCATTATCATTCTTTTATTTGTAAGTTAGGTAGTGAATCACAAATAGTGCCTGAGACTATAAGTAATTGGTTGCTTTCCTGTGCATTCGTACTTTTAATTGAAGTTCTGGTTCCGGCAAATGTTGTGCCGTGTCATACTTGCGCTCGTTGTGCATGGTTTTAGGAATTAGGTCTGTGGACTAGCAAACAGGTGTAAGGTTCATTAAAGGAGAACAGTTCGGTATTCTTAAATGATAATGGCATGTTTTGAAATCAAAATTGGCTCAACAGCTCTGTTTTAAATCCAGCAGGGACCTTTGTGAGGGGTTTTTGCCTTGTTTCTTTTAAATTCTATAGTAACATGCAGCAAATGTTTTCATTTATTTCCCATGTTATCAGTCCTACTCTGCATATTTTAGCCTATTGCTATTGACAGTGATGAAAGACAGGTATTTCCTGACCTTTTGTAATTTGGGTGCTATATAAGCTCAGCTGTTCATTTCAGGAATATTTTGTTCTCTGGCCTTGTTCCTATTTCCTCATTTGGAAGGCAACACTACAAATTCCAGGTGCAGTTGCAGACTTTTCTGAACTATAGCTTAGATTCTGTGCTTTGGTACATGAGACGGAAGCTTGGCTATACAAAGTAAAAATGGTCACTCTTCTGGGATTGAGGATTTGTAGGTATAGTGACTTCTGCCTTGACAAAGATATCATGTCAGTGTTACGCTACTTTTTACTTGAAAATTGTCCTTAATTGTTGTTTGAGGAAGGAAGAAGTCAACAACTATTGACCTAAGAGATGGGGATAATCCAATTAAATTGTGTAGTCTATTCCTTTATGAATTTAGGACTGATCTCCAATTTAGGTGGTCTATCCAGTTTATTATTTGCCAGTTATTGTAGTTACTGCATCACCTACGGATTTTCTCATTCAGACTTGAAATTGAGCGCCCTGGGGCAAGATTTTCTCAGTTAAGCATGGAAACGAACTGACCTTGTTTTTGAGAGCATCCTGCATGCAGCAGTTCTTGTGCCTGGTGTTCTGGAAAGATCGACGGGTTTGTGCAAATCTACATCTGGGTTTGAATCAAGATAAAACATATCTGTGACGCAACCCTCTGTGTACTGCATTATGTCCCCTTCCAGGGATTGGCAGGTAACAGTCCGTACCGTATTTAGAGGCTGAAGTGAAGCCAGCTGGTACTGTTGCTGCAACCTGTTGAGGCTATAGGATGAAGCTCTTCAACTTCTTTTAGCAGTTAATTTCAGGGAGATTGTTATTATTTTTGTAAATCATAGTGGATGGTTTCTGACCGTTTTTAAAGATACCACATGCTCTGCTGTTCATAGTCTAGGAGTCTCTGGGGATTTAAAACTCTTTCTCTATAGTAACTCTCACAGAGATCAATTAAGTTTCTAATTAGAGTTGTATCAACTTAGCATCTACTCAAATCCTAAAAAAGTTGATGTTTCATGAGACAACTCTAGAAGGTTTTTCAATCTTACAAGAAATTTCGGTTTGAGGATTTTTTTTAAAATACTTTTGAGACGAGTTCTTATGTTGTTTGGAAAGTGGTGTTCAAGTAATGGAAAGCTTCAGTAGCTGAAATTTTAATAAAAAATGAACAAAACAGATTTATTTAAACAATTTTATTTATTAAAATAGCTTTTTTTCAGATAGCTAACAAAATTTTAGTTGCAGCCCTCCCTCATGCTTTCTGTCTTTGAAAGACAACTTATTTTGATCAGACCTCAAATGGTGATGAAATTATATCTCCCTTGTTTTGCCTGAAGCCAAGTGTCACAGCCTTTCATTGGTGTTTGGAAAGTTGTATATCACTATATTTGAAATGTACCAAAGTCCTGTGGTTGGCCTCAGCATTAAAATATATAGACACTTCTGCTTTATGAGGCTGTAAACCAGGTAATTCATCACTAGTCGGGATCTGGATGTAGACATGGGCTTTTAAAGAACAATACGTTATATTACAAATTCTTTTGGATGGGGAGTGTTTGTTTTTAGGGATTCCTGGAGAGTGGAAGCCTATTAGGGTGGTATTGTGTGTGTAATAATAAATCATGTACTTTGCCTAGGTTGGTTTTGTTTTCTTTTGTTTTTCCCTTAAAGGTCTAAGACCATTCAAACATTCTGTCGTAGTAAGAATAACGAGTAGTATCCTCTCTGCAAACACAGAAGAGGGGGGGAAATGATTACTTGGGGTTTTTTAAAGTGTAATATTCTCACTACCTATATAAATAAATGATAGTGTGTCCCACAATTCACATGAACAGCAGTGCAGCTGTGTTGCTGTTGTCTGCCCAGATAACAAGACATGAGAAGGAAGGTGGGAGTGACAGGGGGGATGTGCATCGGAGACCGGCATTGTGGTATGAAAGAATTGACACTGTGGTTTTACTGGGGGGGACACGGACTTCTTGCGGGGGACTTCATCTGTTTGCTGCTCTTCACTATTTAGAAAGCATCTTTAGTGATCCTTTTTGCAAACCAGCTCATGCAGTAACTGGCAAAACAGAAGCAATTAGTGGTGTAATCTCAAAGGGAATCTCAAGCTTCACTTTAAGTGCAATGATTAAATCCACTAAAATGATAACCATTGCTGCCAAGAACTCCTGTAATTGGTCACTAATGTATTTTGTTGTAGGAGTCGATAACTACTGGATTTCATGCATGTAATTAGTAATGCATACACGTTTGGTCAGTAAAATTGAAAATCCTAATAACCGAGGCTAGAGGGGGTGGGAAGGAACACAGAGCTGGAGAACTGAAATAGTGCTCTGTTGATAGTACCTAACTAGAACTGTATGCTTCAATAAAACAAGTGTCCTACTGTGCTGGAATACAAATGGGCTGTCTGTGGCAGGATATAGCAAAGACGTTTGGCAGAGAGGGATTTGAAAGCTTCTGGCATAATGTAATTGAATTGGCCATTTCTTTAAAGATACAGCAAATTGTTTGCTGCGGCATTCATCATCATAAGGAAGGTCAGACAGCTTGCCAAACATATGATATTCATAATAAAAAGTAAAACGGTGACGCTTGTATTTAAACACAAATCATGTTATCATATTTGTAAAAGCTGTGGAAATGAATGGGAATATTTTTGGTGATGCTGAGGCATTAGTAATCTAAGTAAGACTGTAATTTAAGAGGGGGAAAGCATATAGTCAGGGAAAAGACCCCCAAGGGAATTCAGCTAGTGAGCAACATCTGATCCCCCTGACTTGAGAGGATAGTAGGTGTTTAGCAGGAGTATTGCTGACTCTCTCTTGTGATCACTTAAGGGCAGATAAGCTTGCATGATCCTATTTTTTTCCCTTTTAAGAAAACAAAGGGAAAAATAACAAAGAAGGAAGATTTAAGGAAGTCTCTAAAAAGAGACAAAGTCTAAAATGAAGCATTGCTGGGTTTTGTTAGTCAGTTATGCTGTGACAGAACAAGATGATGCAACAACCTGTAGCATATCTGAAATGTTAAATTAACTGCTCAGTGTTCGTACACTGGGAAACCCCTCTCGAGTCACATCCGGAACGCTGAACATAAATTGCGTGATGACAGGGGCTTTGGGCCACACGGCGATGCCTCTGCAAATGAGTAGCTGTTACCTTTAGGTTCTA